TTTAACAAACAAGAAAGATTGCACTTCAATTGCAAATAAATGCTCAATAACAATTTAGAAGTAAATAATAGAGTACATAATATGCCTATTTCCAGAATAAAAAATAAACTTCAAGAACTTTCAAAGCGGTTTGTGTTTGTACCGGCCGACAAAGCAGCCAACAATGTGGTGGTGGTATGCCGTAAATACTACACGGACGTTCTTAAGAATGAAATTTTAAATTCATCTACATTCAAGTCCATGCGCCCCACAGAGATTCATATAGGTAACAAACATAGCATAACCACATCACAGCTTAAGGCTTCTTCTAAACATTTGAAGGTCCTACTATGTATTGGTTACCTCAACTACTCAAAAACCCAGTAAAATATCGTTTCGTCTCGGGCTCTAGCAAGTGTTCTACAAATAATCTTTCAGTGCTTTTAACAAGTTCATTAACTACTATCAAAGAGCTTATCATAAACTATTGTAATAAAATATATGAAAATAGTGGACATACTCTTTTTGGAGTGTAAAAAATCCTCTGGATGTTCTAGATAAATTACGTGCTTTTAATGGTCCTTTTGATTCTGTTGACAGTTTCGACTTTTCTACTCTTTACACTACACCTCCAGACAATCTTATCAAACAAAAATTTGACTATTTAATTAACTTGAATGGTCGTTTGGTAAATCTGAATGCAAATATATTTGCTGCAACTCATTTAAATAAAATTGAGAATGGAAATGGGGAATGTGTCAAAGAGACAACAACCCGGCCATAGAGAAGACAACAGCCGAAGGCCACCAATGGGTCTTCAATGCAAAAAATGAAAAATAAACAAAATGACAATAATACATAAATAACAACAGACTACTAGCAGCTACTGACATGCCAGCTCCAGACCTCAATTAAACTGATTGAAAGATTATGTCTTCATCATATGAATATCAGGCACAATCCCTCCTGTTAGGGGTTTAGTATTATACCATCATAAAATATATGAGAAGAACATAACCCGTGTCATGCCAACAACTGGTTTTAGAATAAATGTGTTTAATTCCGATGCAAAGACCCTACAAGTGAATCAATCTTAAAGCCAAAATATGCAATCTTTAATGTTGAGTTATATTTAAAGCCTTCTTCTCTAATGAGAAAGGTAAATATGCTAGATATACTTACTGGAGGTGTGAAGAGATGATTGAAGCTGTTAATTTTCTCCTTGATAATATTAATTTAGATATGTTTTTGCAGCAAAGTTTATCGACAGGTTGTAGGTATTCCTATGGGCATTAATTGCGCCCCTTTAATAGCAGACTTGTTTTTGTACTGTTATGAATCACAGTTTATGACCAAACTCAGTAAAGAGATATAGGAAGATGTGGTATGAGTGCCAATGAGACAACTCTCCATCCAAGTTACAATTTATAAAAGTAAACCATTATAGGTCAAGGTACGGCCTTCAACACGGAGCATTGGCTCACACCGAACAGCAATCTATAAAGGGCCCCAACAAATTACTAGTGTAAAACCATTCAAACGGAAAAACCAACGGTCTAATCTATATAAAAACGAGAAACGAGAAACACGTATGAACTACATAAACAGACGACAACTACTTTAATCAGATTTCTGACTTAGGACAGGTGCAAACATTTGCAGCGGGATTAAACGTTTTAATGGTACCAAACCTTCTCCCTTTTCTGAATCAATAGTATAACATCACAACATAGAAAAACACACTATAAAATATCAATTGGAAGGCTTAACTCAATCAAAAAACGTAAATTAACACACAATGAACGAATAAATTTGACCTGTGACACCTGAACGCAAATACACAGTTAATAAAAAATTACAAGGGATAAATAATTAAAGTCAAAAGTAAATAAACAGGTTCAAAGTTAAAGTATGATATCACTGTGAAATGTCAAACAATCTTTAGAAAATCATCACTTTTGAAGAAACCTGCGTCATATTATACACAGGTAAATGAAAATAATTCTGTCGTTAAGTATACTTCTTCTTCTGTGTGTATCAAATCTTCCGTTTAGGAATACCAAGAAATTTCTTTAATATCAATAAAACTAATCTAACACTTGGTACATATGGGGTGAATATCAACAATAAAACTTTACAATTAGTGCTAGATAAAACTTCCTGTACAGGTCCAAGAACAGCATCTAAGGAAAAATGAAATAATTTTGATGTTAATAGTACGAAGAAGTGAAAATTTGTAGTAAAGACCCGTTTAAATTGAATTTAATTGATAAATTCAACAACACTTACCGTTATCTTGATGATATTTTTTCGTTAAATAATCAAGAATGTTCTCAATATACTGTCAAAATTTACCCAAAGAAACTTACTTTAAATAAATCAAATTTAAACGGTAACAACTGTCCTTTCCTAGATTTAGATATTTCGGTTTTACACGGGAAACTCCACACTAAAATTTACGACACAAGGGACGATTTTTCGTTCCCTATTGTTAATTTTCCCTTTTTGGATGGTGATGTTCCTTTGGCACCATCTCACGGTGTTTATATTTCACAACTCGTCCGCTATGCCCGTGTCTGTTGTGACGTTTTTGGTTTTAACGAACGTAATCTATGTATTACTGATAAATTATTAAGCCAGGGATTTCGTTACCACAAATTACTTAAAACCTTTACTAAATTCTTCCACAGATATAATGATTTGGTTTTGAAGTTTGGTTGTACCTGTAGAAAACTTATTTTAAATGGGATTGCCCATCCTCATTTTTACGGCAATATTGTTTACCGTGCCCGGAAATTTAGAAACGATCCTGGTAAACTTATCGATCCTTTAAATAAACTTATTCTAAAGGGTTACCAATTCAACACTGCAATTAGATAATTAAATATTGTTTTTATTGGTACTAATATTGATTTTGTTATCGGAAATTAAAAGCAAACTAAAAATAGTGTTATTTACATATACACATTCATGGACTCTACAATCTGTTGATACCTGTGTATTGGCATTGCACAAGGTCATGTTTTTCTCTGGCTATTCATGACGTCTTTACACTAAATCCATTGGATTTTGGATGTGTACGGATTGATGATTTAGTCCTAGATGCATGATTTTTTTTATTAGTTGTTAGTGGCTTTGAACTAGCTGTCAGTAACTGCGAGTACTCACAGATCTGTACTTAGTGTCTTTTTGTTGTTTGGATGTACAAGTACCTGGCCACGTCCACTTGTATTTGTAGTATTTGTATTTTTATCCATCTGATGAGTTAAGCCTCTTTCAACTGATTTTTATAGTTCGTTCTTATGTCGTACTGTTACACCACTGTCCCATGTTAGGGGGAGGGTTGGGATCCCGCTAACATGTTTAACCCCGCCACATTCTGTATGTATGTGCCTGTCCCAAGTCAGGAGCCTGTAATTCAGTGGTTGTCGTTTGTTTATGTGTTACATGATTGTTTTTCGTTCATTTTTTTAATACGACCGCAAAAAAATTTTGCGGTCGTATATTGGTATGACGTTGGCGTCGTCGTCGTCGTCCGAAGACACATTGGTTTTCGCCCTCTAACTTCAGTTTAAGTCAATAGATCTCTATGAATTTTTACCATAAGGTTCAATACCACAAAAGGAAGGTTGGGATTGATTTTGGGGGTTATGGTACCATCCGTTAAGGAACTATGGGCCAAAAAGAGGCCAAAAATAAGCGTTTTTCTAGTTTCCAGACAATAACTTGTGTTCAATTGTATGGATCTCTCTGAAATTGTACTGCAAGGTACCATACCACAAAGGGAAGGCTGAGATTGATTTTTAGGAATTAGGGGCAAAAAAGGGGCAAAAAACAAGCACTTTTCTAGTTTCAGGAAAATAACTTGTGTGTACGTGTATGGATCTAAAAAATGAAATTGTACAACAAGGTTCCATATCAGAAAGGGAAAGCTGGGTTTGAGTTTGGGGGTAATTGCCCTAAATGTTTAGGAATTTGTGGCCAAAAAGGGGCCAAAAAAACAAGCATTTTTCTAGTTTCCAGACAATAACTTGTGTTCAAGTGTATAGATCTCTCAGAAATTGTACTGCAAGGTACCATACCGCAACTGGGAAGGCTGGGATTGAATTTCGGGGTGATAAATCATAAGGGGGTTCAAAAAATTGGGGGGGGGGTTCTTTTTTTCCTTTTTTTTTTTTTCTTTAAAATTTTCTATTTAAAATTGGTTATTTCTTATTTATATATAAAAGCAAATAATAATGATAGGGTTTGAATAGGTAAATTAAAATTTTTTAAGTTCTTAGACCACATTCATTCTGTGTCAGAAACCTATGCTGTGTCAAATATTTAATCACAATCCAAATTCAGTGCTGTATCAAGCTTGAATGTTGTGTCCATACTTGCCCCAACTGTTCATGGTTCGCGGACCTCTGCGGTCGTATCAAGCTGCGTCCAGCGGAGCATTTTATTTGTACATAAATTAGGCCGTTATATTTTTCTCGTTTTACATTGTCATTTCGGGGCCTTTTATAGCTGACTGTGCGGTATGGGCTTTGTTCATTGTTGAAGGCCGTACGGTGACCTATATAGTTGTTAATTTCTGTGTCATTTGGTCCGTCTTGTTTATATTTACTTACTTATATACAACTTTGAAATCTAAAATGTAAAAGTGCAACAACACTATCTACACACTTTAGATGTAGCATCGTACATATCCCCATTTATATTAAGGACATAACAAGCAATGATTTTTTTTTTTATTCAGGAAAACATTTATTGTTATAAAATATTATTAGCTATTTTATTCTCCCGGGCGCTTTTTTTTCTTCCCCGGGCGCTTTTTAGTAGGACCGCCGTCTTGTGCCAAGTCATACCACATCTTCTTTTTTATATTTCCCATTATGTATTTAGATCTTTCTTTTTTGGTTGGTATCACATTAACTTGCGTATACAATATTCGTAGTGCTACTGTTTTGACGTTGGGTGACTGGCAGTAACCCTTCACATAAGCTTTTATCCTCGTGCGGGACGGATCGACCTAATTTACGTTAGGAAAATGGCGGATATTTTCCCGTTCTGTTTTAGTCAGTCAACAAGCTTAGATAAGAAAACACTAAGGTGTTATAATGTGACAAATAGACTTTTTTCAAATGTAGAAATAGAAAATACAGATGCTACTTCTACTGTAAACTTTTCTGAAGCTTTTCTTAAATACACAATTGATAGTGAGGAATCGATCACTCTATCTTGGTTTTGGTGTGACGCCATAGAAGAGATTGTCGAGAATTACTGCGGTGAAAAGAAATCTAATGAATTAAGATATCAAGTGTTGAAACTTTTAAGACAATGTGTACAAAAATTTATACAAGACGGCAAGTATTTTTTTTCCTTTTTCACTCGTATGAATTTATGAAAACCTAGTCCAAATAATTATGACGTCTTGAAGGCTATTTTCTGCGACGCCTTCCTAAATCTATTTAAATTGTGATGTCTTTCCTCATGTTCACTATCTTTAACTATCTAAAAATCCCTTGACCTTTTAATAGCATGCAAAATGAAAACATCGTGGTACATGTATGTTGACATTGAAACCGGAAGTGCTACTTTTTGACATGATGAGTCTTCAGAACTATTAATTTCTGTTTAAAAAGAAACAAAACAGCATTAACATTTATTTTGAATTCAGGACTTGCGGCCCAGACGATCCGACCCCAAGACAATTCGGCCCCATACCTTAAGACTATTCGGCCCTATATATATATATATAGTCAAGGGTACTACTTGTACAAGTAATCTTTATTTACTTGAAGAAGTGAAAAAATATACTTATATAAGTTAATTATAATGTTTGAATTCATGTAATCGCCCCTTAATTTTCTCAAAAATTCACTTGTATAAGTAAATTTTTTGTACAATCCCACAAAAATTCTCAAGTTTTGAGATTTTAAAACATATGCCTTTAATGATTTTTCCCAGGTTAGCTCAAAACTTTTTATTAAAGTTCAATGTTTCATCTCATTAATTCAACAAAGAAACTGATTGCGCATAGATCTTAAGTATTTGTGCAAGGCCTTCAAAAATTGCTCCTTAGAAGCTTGTAAATGTTCTGAAGATAACAGACAAATGAGATTTTCATTGTCCATGAAATTACACTTAAATGGTGGGTTAAGGCATCTGCAAAGGACAGACAATTTAAAATTCTATTAGAGCAAAGACATGAAAGAAGTCCAAAGAATTCAAGAAAAGAAGATAGGATGACTTGTTCACTTATAATAAGTAAAAAAATCTGAATGTCTAAGGGACATAAATAAGCCATTTTTTTTTAACCTATACAAGCAGAGACATATAATACAAGAGATTCGCAACTCTAGTAGAGTCTATATAACAGCCAATGAAATGACGTGGCCACCGGAAAGCCGATTAATCCGATGGATTTATGGGTAATAACCCGTATTGTTGTGTAAAAGGTTCTACGCCTCACGATTTTTCTAATGGATAATGCCGATACCTTTCACAGCTAAAGCATGCAAGTATATTTAAAAGTTACAAAAAACTAATTCTAATAATTTGTTATTGATAAAATGTGTTCTAATGATGAGATTAATCAAATACAAACAACGTTAAAACTCGGCCCATTTTACTTCACCTATTGCCGTAGAAACCATTTGATCTCCGAATTTTTTTTCTTAAAACTTGAAAATATGCTAATAAATATATAATTTTATGGGCCAATAGTACTCCCAAATGTTGTTTCGTGAAAATAAGACTATTTTTCGTAAAATTTGATCCAACAATGTGGCGATTTTTTCTGATTGATACCCGAAATTTTTTATTAAACTGGCTAAATATTGAAATTGTTCATGGACAAATTTCCTTAAATCAGTCCTTCTTTTTTGTGCACTATGAAATTTATAGCCTGCATTTTGTTAGACATTTTATTCATTTTTCATTCTGTTTGTAGCAAAGTTGTTTATTTTCTCCTATTCTAAAGTCATTGGTTTTTTTCTTCTTTTTAGGGTGCCAAAGATGAACGAATGCAGTAAATTTACAAAAGGAGTAAAATTTTCCTAGTAAAGGAAACCTTCTGCTGGTCGTAATATTATGAATGAGCTACATATGCATCTGTTGTCGTTTCAGACTACGCTTCTCGTTCAAAACATAAACCTAATTCATTTTTAAATTAAAATCGTATTGAGGACATTTCAGTGGTGACTGCAAAAGATATATATATATATATATATTTGATAATAAAAGATTTTATTTACACCAAGGATTTGTATATGTATACACATAAACAATCTTACTTTTAAATTGCCATCTCTTTACCCCAGAATAAAAAGACAAAAACTCGCAACAAATGATTAAAAGACAAAAACCACTACCAATGATTGTCTCGTGGAAACAAGGTTATAAAATACTTTTTAAATAGTGTCTTCCGTGTTGCTTTGATGTATGACCTGTGTTTTTTTTATAGATTTTTTGTTGCTTCGAGGACACACATATCCATCTATGTATGCAGTATTGTCAATTGTTTTTGTTGGTGGGTCTCTCGCTTATGTTTTCGTCCTTTTCACTATCAACAAAGAGTTCGTTATCAGTTTATTCAACTAGGAGTATATCTAAGTCGTAACTATTAAGATTGTCATCCCACGAAATTAAGATTGTCATCCCACGAAATAAAATCGGAATTTTCCATATTGCGTGCACATGAATGAAGCTTTATTCAAATGAGAAATTAATTGTAATTTTCTTAAATATTAATTCCCAATACACACTTCGAACATGAAGAAACCATAAATTTACCGACAATCATTTAAAAAAACAACTCAATGCAAGCCTATATGATAAAACTGTCAAACAACACTTAGAAATCAAACATTTACCGACAATCCTACAGAAAAAAAACTCAATGAAAGCCCAATAAATGAGGAGTATAAAAATAAATAAAATTTTAATAATTTATAAATATCAAGAATAAAAAACAAAGCCTATCATGATTAACAATTAATTAACAAATAAATTAAGTTTTTTTCCATATTAATTAATTATACATTTTGTGACTTGTATTTTTGGAAAGAGTGTGGACACCTGTGGTGTGACAACTTCTTGTTTACAAGGTGTCAATTAAAACTCATTATTTATAACATGTTCGTGATTTACCTGGTCATCGAATAATTCAAACCTAATATACATGTCACACTGTGAAATTATGTCTCCGAGACAGGTGTATATTCAATAGAAACCCATTATGTAACTATCAAATAAAATGAACTCTGACACAATTTATCAAGTGTTAATTATTTAATATCAGTTTTTTTTTTTATACAATATCAAATTATGTCTCTTTTTCAATAATAAAAATCTAAAATCAAAATTACATTAAAATAAATAATTATATATGTACTCAAATTATATTTAATTAATTATGATAAATTTAACACTGAAACAGTTTATGTTATGCTTAAACATTCGTCCTTACTTCGAGTACTTTTAATACTTTTATTAATGACTTTATTACCTAAGGAGATCTCGCGAGGTTTAACTAGTGGCCGCGTGTTATTACGGGATTTCGCCGAGTTGCGAATCTCTTGTATTATATGTCTCTGATACAAGTAAATAAAATACACTTGTATAAGTATCCTACAAATTTACTTATATAAGTATATTAATATTACTTCTTCAATTAAATCAAAATTATTTGTACAAGTAGTACCCCTGACTGATAAATCTATGCATATATCTATTGCAAAAAATTTTACCTGGTTTTTATCTCCCTAGTTTTAAATGGTACATCATATAAGAGATATTTTGAATCATTTAAAAGAACATGTCATATGTTAGCGTATTTTGGCATATTTGTTCAATAAGTAATATGAAATTTGAAATGTAAATCAATTAAGTGAACATTGTAAAAGCTTATAATCAGAGAAATTATTATAGCAATATGCCGTAAATACATGTAGCCTTTAGTTCTGTGATAATTGTTTTTCTTAAGGTAGTTGAAGGGGGGGGGGGGGGGGGTCTAAAATTTTCTAAGACTCTGCCTAAATGCAGTGTTTGTCATGGTCTTTTAAAAAAAATATATTAAAAAAACGGGTCACCGACCTTTTTAAAAAGCTACAGGTTGTGTAAAATTGCCAAATTTTGTATAGAACACATGTACATGGGGGAAAATCACTTTTGTGGTCATACACATTTAACGAAAAGATAGAATTTCAAAATAAAATATGAAAACATAGTTAGTTTTATGCTCTTTCAGAAATTACAAAGAAAAAGTGGGTTCACCGACCATATTTTTCTTGTTGCAAGAGAAAATCCATAAATTCCCTAACAAAGCTTTATAATTTTGAAGCTATACAAGTTATCTCCCCTTAACCATGTTAACTCTATATTTTCAAATACATGTATGGTTTTAAACATGGAAATATTCAGTTTTTAATGAACTGGTCTTAATAAGACAATGTAATAATTTTTACATTAAATGCGAAAAGTTTAACACATTAATTGACATCCCTTTTATAAATATGCATATTCCATTAAATAACTAGACCCACTGGGGTCTTCAATTTCAAGAATCCAAGATTGCAGAATACCCCCGAATTACCTTAATAAAGATATTAAATAAAGAATAGATAAGAAATTACTGTAGTATTAAAAAAAAAATTAGGTCACATGACCCATATTTCATGGTTGAATGGCTTTAGTAAGGTTGTTGACTTTGGTTAAGTTTTATGTCCAAGTTAATTTCTCAGAAACTATGTGGCCTAGAATCATGCTGCTTATTGTGTAAATGTATCTTTGGGAGACTGTCAGCCTCTATCCCTAATTGGTTAGTTAGACCTACATTTCATGCTTGATTGACTTAAGTTTTAGGTTCATGTTAATTTCTTAGAAACTACATGTATTTGGCCTGGGATCATGTTGCTTATTGTGTAAATGTACAAATGTATCTTAAGGAGACTGTCAGCATCTTACCCTTAATTGGTAAGTTTGACCTACATTTCATGCTTGATTAACTTTGGTTAAGTATTATGTCCCCGTGACTGTGTATTTCTCTGATACTATGTGGTCTAGGATCATGTTGCTTATAATGTGAATGTATCTTTGAGAGACTGTCAGCATCGCATCCTTAATTGGTCAGTTTGGCCTACATTTCATGCTTGATTAACTTTGGTTAAGTATTACGTCCCAGTGTATTTCTCGGGTACTATGTGGTCTAGGATCATGTTGCTTTTAATGTGAATGTATCTTTGAGAGACTGTCAGCATCGCATCCTTAATTGGTCAGTTTGATCTACATTTCATGCTTGATTTACTTTGGTTAACTTTTATTGGGTAAATCTTGGCAACATTATGAAAGCAGATATTGCTTGCAAGGCGAACCTTGCAATTGTAGATTGCCTATAGCTATGTTTTATTTCTGGTTTGATTTCAATGTGATTTGTTTCTAATCATTCTTTATGAAATTCCCAACACTCCATTTTCAATCAGATTTGAGCTAGGTCTTACGGTTTGGGAGCTAATTGCTATAAAAGGCCAAAATGGTCAATTTTTAATTGCTCATAGAATTTTAAATTTCATCCAATTTTGTTTCTGTTTTTTTTTTTTTTTTTCCATAATCTTCATTATAAAATTATGCATCCATATTCAATAGGGTTACATGGATTTTCTGTATTTTTTACCATTTCTGAGCTATAAGCAGTCAGAGCTTAGACATAAATCAGTATAAATCTGCTTTTGACTCATAGAGGTCTAAATTTGTAGGTTTCAAGATTTGTCTCCCTTTAAGACAAATTTTGAAGCAAGAAATATTTGACCTGAATTCAAAAGTTGCAAATATTGACTCAGGACTTCAAGTAGATAAGTAACCAAAATTGGTCAACTTCAAGACCCATGCACATTTGTAAAAAGGTCAAGCATCTACATGAAATTATGACAACTTTGAAAGACAATGCTTTGTCTTCTGAAGAAAAATATGCATGAGAGCCTAAAAAACGGAGAAAATGTTTATTTACTTTACAATGCAAACATCTATAACCACACAAAATGAGGAAAATAATCTTATGTTAAGTAAAAATGTTCCATTAGATAATTAGATATAGATAGCTCAGGTCCTTGTGAACTCTCAGACAGGTTTATGATGTCAAAGGTGGTGTACTTTGGCTACCAATTAAAATTAAGTCTTTTCATAAACATAAACAGACCTTAACAAGCTAGTCTGTCATTTTCTGACTTAAATAAGTCTGAAAATCAAAACACAATTTTTATTATAAATACAGTTTTTGATTTCTGTAAGTGAAAAACAAAAAAAGACTTGTTTATGTCTGAGCTCTGACTGATAAGGGGCCAAAGTGGAAGTCAAACCCAAATTTTTTGAGGTTTTATAATCATGATAATGGTATGGCGTTGTCCTTCGTTGTCGTTTGTCTGTAGATACATGGTTTCTCGACAATAATTTTAGAAATTTTTGATCAATTGTTTACCTATACCTCTAGCCAATATATAATAAACAATCGATGTATATAAGGGCCAAATTGGGGCCAGTCCCAAAAAATGAACTTTTTTATTTCTGGTCCACTTTTGATTGGGTTTGTTTCTGTGGATTCCTTATGAAATATCCATTTATTAGTCATTAACTTGCTCTCGTCCTGAATATGCATATAAATTTGCCGCTGGACGTTAAGCCACCATCACTCACTCACTCACTTAAACCTCCATCACTCACTAACTCATTATTTCCATTGACACTTAGGCATTAGAACTCATTTAAAAGTTGAGATACATAACTATCCTATTTCAAACAGTTTTTAAGAAAATTCCAACTTTAAAAACTATAGTTCCTCCTTGGTATTTATTTGGATCTCGAAAATCTAACATCCTTCATAATTAACTTCGGTATAATGACATGTATAGCAGTTTGAATTGTGATCTTTATTGATTTTATATATTTGACAATCGTAGTTGCTCCTGTGGTTTTAAATGTAAAAAATGTACATCATTATTTCTTAGAGTGTCCATTGTATGACAATATAAGACAGGAACTGTAATTCGCATTCATGGTCAAATTGATATCAATCTTATATGATTTGAAATGTAAACTTATCTTATGAACAAAATATAGACATTTTTAGAGCAGTACATGTGTTCATTAATAATTCACATCGTTTTAACATGTTTAAGAAAAACTGGTTGAGACTAGCAAGTTTTTAGTTGCTTAATTTTTGTGCTAATTGTGAAATGTTTATAAGTTGTATGTTCCATAATTGCTTTTGTCTGTGTGTTGTACATTGTAACATGTATAAGGAGAGGCCAACACTAAGTTGTAATAACTTGAGCCCAATCCTATATTGCTGATGTATTGAGCAATAACATATGTTAAACCAAAGGGGTTAAACATTGTAAATATAACTTAAATGGGGTCAAAATGGCATTATCTTAATTGGTTATAGAAATGTATTTTTTATTACTGTGTCCTGCACATTACTGTGTCTAGCGTATTACTGTGAAAGAACTTTTATTCGTGGGTATTAAATTTTGTGGTTTGTAGAAAATTCTAAGGTTCGTGGGTATTTAAATTTTGGTTCTAAAGTTTACACATGTATGCTAATTCAATGGGAAAAAGTGCTGTTCATTGGGTATCAGATTTCGTGGTTGTGTTTAACCACAAAATCCACGAAAATTGGTACCCCACGAAAAATAATACTTTCACAGTATTGTGTCTACAACATTCATGACATTATTGTGTATACAACAATATTGTGTTCAGTACATTATTGTGTCCAGCATATTATTGTGTCCATATGTTTGCTTGACTTTCACTTGATGGACCTCTGCGGTCGTATAGTGCTGCGCTTTGCATAGCTCTTTATTAAGTTTAGAATGAGGTAAAAATGTATGCTGGTGTATGAAAAGTGAAACAAATTAATTATTAATTTACCATATTTATAATGAGCTTTGTTTAAAGCAGATCTTTCAAATAATTCTACATTAAAAAAGGATACAATATGTATTACTATTATCATTTATGTATTATCAATATTTATAGAATGTAACAGCAAGCATTTAGGAAAGGTTAAAGAAGCAAAGAGTGAAGCAGAGATTCAAGCTATCCTTGCCCATCACTTGTTCTCACAACTTGCACCAACTGGAAAATATGTGATTGATGGTAGATGTGCACCTGTTGATTTAAAGAAATGTCCTGCATGTAAAGAAGACCTTATCTATGGGGATACATCTATAGGTAAAGTATTATTTAGAGGTATACAATGCTTATGCATACATATTTTTAAAAAAGAATATGGAATATATGCCTGAACAACAACAATCCACATCTGAAACTCTTTCGAGAAAAAACGTCTAAAATTTCAAAATCTAAATTTAACAGTGTGTTCTGGTTTGACCTTCATTAGACACATTATTTGTAAAACTTTCAGCAGGAAATTTATTTCTTAGCACCCAATCCAAAATAGCAGCAATATGTCCAAATGAAGGCCTTTCATTCAAAATATCTAAATACAAAACTATATATATTTATTTTTTATACCCCTGCTTTTTGAAAAAGTGGGGTATAGAGTATTCGTTGTGTCTGTCTGTCCGTCCCTTTGTCTGTCTGTTCATATGACCTTTGTATCCGCAACTCCTCCTAAACTACTGAATGGAATTTCATTAAACTTTCAGAGAATCTTTATCCCATAATGGCATTGTGCATCTTCTATTTTAGAATTTGATAAGACCAATTTCTTGGGGTTTCCTATAGCAAAACATGGAGTTTGCCATTTACTGTTATAAGGGGGTACCAGGATGACATTTGCAACTCCTTCTAAATATCTGAAACTTTCAGATGATCTTTATTACATAATGCCATATAGTCCAAAATTCCTCTGACGTTCCACAGCCTTTTTATAGATTGGCTAGGGACGTGAGATGTCAGGGCGCCCTCCATATTAAAAACTGGGGCAACCAATTCCAAGTTTTTGATATGGAATGCACTCTGACGTCCCACGGCCCCAGCCAATCTATAAAAAGGCATGGGAATCCGAATGTCAGAAAAATCTGGGACAAGATGCCATAGTGCCCCTCTTACATAAGATTTTGATCTGACGAAATTTGGGGTTTCCCATATCAAAACATGGACTTTGCCATTCATTGTGATAGGGGTACCAGTATGCCATCTGCAACTCCTCCTAGACCACTTAATGGAATTTGATAAAACTTTCAGAGGATCTTTATTACATGATGCTGTATTGCACCTGCTATTTTTGATTATTATTTGACCAACATTTGGGGTTTCCCTTACCTAAACATGGACTTTGCCATTCCTTATTATTATGGGTACCATGATGCCATCCGCAACTCCTCCTAAACTATTGAACATGTTGAATGGAATTGATGAAACTTTAATAGGAGGATCTTTATTATATGATGCCATAGTACACCTCCTATTTTAGATTTTGATCTTACAAATATTTGGGGTTTCCCATAGTAAAAACATGGGCTCTGCCATTTATTGTGATAGGGGGTACCGGTATGCCATCCACAACTCCTACTTAACAACTGAATGGAATTTGATGAAACTTTCAGAGAATTTTTATTACATGATGGCATAGTACATCCCCTATTTTAAATTTTGATCTGATCAACATTTGGGGTTTCCCATACCGAAATATGGGATTCATATATCCTATGTGGGGGTGGGGTATCAATTAAGGAACTGTGCTCACAATATTTCTAGTTTTACATGTATTTAAGAGAGTGAGTGAGTGATGGTGGCTTAAAGTCCAGTAGTAAATTTATACGCATATTCAGGACAAGAGCATGTAAATGTATGATAAATGAACCCTGCTTTGTTCTAGACAACACGCTGAGCTGGATTTTTTACATGATAGCTCACAAGGTAGCAGTCTGCAGGAAGACATACCACTTACTCGGACACATTATTTTGACTCCAAGCCAACCAGTCTTTGCTTCTACTTTTTGATGCCACTTGCTTGGCAGAGAAGCAGCAAATACCAATTCTACAGTCTTTGGTTTAACCCGGCCGATGATCAAACTCATGACCTTTCACACTCGAGGCTAGCATGATAACCATGAGACCACCGAGGTGGTTCATGTATTTTAGAAGCAATAAGTAAAATCAGACTTTTTAATGCATATACGTACGTACAAACTTTTGTCAACTATAACTATGAAACTATACATGGGAATGATTGGAAATTAGTCATGGAGCTTTAACATGAAGAGTTGTATTGTGTGTGGGAATTTTTGTTATGGTGGTGCGTCAACTTCCTGTTTACTGGACATTTTTCTTAGAATTTTAATGTGACTGACACATAAATTGGCGGGAACATACGTATCCTATGGACACATTTCTTCTAGTTTTCTTAACATTTACAGATATTAAGCTGATATTTGTTAAGTGGGTACATTGAAAAAAAAACTTAAATATAGTTTTCTTTGATTTTTTTGTTTTTATGGATTCCTTGTGACATTTCTGACACTCCAATTACAAAACACAGATCCAAGTTTATTTTTTGGTTGCGTCACTTTAACGTTTGAGAGTTATGCCCTTTACAAATGGAAAAATTGCTGAAATATTCGTTTCCGTTCTCTAACTTTAGTTTTCCTCAGCCAAATGTCATGAAACTTATGCACAATGCTTAACTTATTTCCACAAAACTCAGATCAAGTAAAACTTTGGGTAGCGTCACTTTTACAGTTCTTGAATTTTGTCCCTTTATAACGTTATATGCAAGCGGGGCATCATCTGTGTCCCATGGACACATTCGCCATTTATTTTTCAACATATGATTTTGTATTTGAAATTTTCCTCACATTTTTCTCAGCAACTACTAATCACAAACATTTGATATTTTGACACAAGCTTCCTATAAATGTGCCATATCCTAGGATATGTTTTTCAGACCTTTTCGGGGGTATCCTCAGTGAGCATTTGCTCACAGTTAATCTTGTTTACTTTTGTACAAATTGCCAATTTTTACATAATGCACCTTCTATTTCAGATTTTGATCTATTTGATATTTTGCTCACAGTAATTCTAGTGTGTAATTTATTTTTTTCCCAATATGAGACCCTCTTAATGACATGATAAGCTTTAAAGAGCTCAAATTCACTGTGCTTTATCATTAACTTTTTATAGGAAATCCAGCTTACTGGCATGGATATCCTGATATTCTTCTAGATAGAAGTACTGTTAAAGTTGATATGAATGAAAGTTGTTGTGAAACAGAAGAAACTCAAGAATATGAATGGCCAGAACCAGATGCAAAGAGGCAAAGACTATTAGAACAGACAAATGGCACAGGTGGAAAAGGATCCATTTTAACCCTAAAACCTGATATTTTTACTACATGTGAAGATCAATTGTTTAAAACTGAAAAAGCCTTAAGACAGTCATTTGCTCAGACTATAACAAATGCTTTTTATCAAGTAAAACAGAAGCCAAAGCTCCAGAGTCTTTGTATTCCATCATTTTTAGCTTCAGATAATAAAGTAAGGATTATTATGTACAACTGTGAACAGGACAGGCTGTATATATCTGAAGAAATGTATCTGTTTGATACTTTATGTGATCATGGCCTGAATGTTGGAACAATTGTCTCCATCTGGCTGGCATTAAATTTTGAAAACTTTCAAAATGAGGTTGATGAAGAAGATCTTACAGTTATAGCACTAAAGAAGTCATCATTTCAAGAAAAATTGCCAGATACAGTACTATCAGTCTACAAACATCAGTTGTACAGACCTCTGCCAAAGAAAAGAAAACAAACAGAGCAACCACCTCGTACTACTTTGGGTGTAAGAGTTCTCAAATCTAAATATGCCAAAAGTCTCCTAGAGAGGTTGGAAAGCTTAGACTCAAGATTTTTTAAAACACCTTACAAGTAGTCCAATAGGTATGTTATCCAGACTGTGAGTTCCTTTTAACCGGATTAAAAATGTGTATCCCACCTTAATCAAGAAAAATCATAACTTCCTAGCTTTGATCAAGGTGTGAAAGGTACAAAATGTACTTAATAAGTAAGGATGTCATATTCTGTGTAATTAGAGTTGACAACATGTACAATTGTGTAGGTTTGTGATTTGAATAATCCATCTATGGTCAAGTATTAGCCACATATCAAATGCAAAAAAAGTCTTAATTTTTATTTAAACTTTACTTTAGAAATAACTCCAAATTAATTTAAAACTATCTAAAAATTTTTTAAAAATTTGTTTTTTGTACAACAGTGAAATTTTTTGGTCCTATATGTGTATATGTGTATCTTCCCTGTCTGATGGTGGCCATAGCATCTGGATTAGTTGTTACCTAAGGATAATTTTCATTATTTGTTATTTAATTGTTATGCCCCATCCCAATGGCAGTGCTTGGGTAGAAAAGGCACACTAGGTTTCCTTGCACTGGACCTGTAAAGGGGCTTTCATGCCTGTTGGGATATACAAATACACACCCTATATCAGATTTTGACAATAGAGTACAGGCCTGGCAAAGGTTTAACAAAAGGAGTCAAATTGAAAGCGTGTTTTGACTCTTTGCTGTTGAGTCATGATCCATCACTAGCAAATCTTGTCCCTGCCCTAATGAAGCTCAACTCCTTTTCATGGAAACAACTCAGATCAAATGAATTTTTACTAGGGCTTGTCAAACTTCATTCCTATCAGAAATACAATGTAGCTTGCTTATTTCTTTTCTTGCTTTTAAAAGCTTGTGAAAACCTAAAATGTTCACTTGTAAAACAGTTAAATTGTAGTTAATGCTCTTTTTACATAATAATTTGCTTCATTGAGGTAGTGAGGAGTTTAGATTCGCTATAGCAAGGGGTTGAGGGTTCAGAACAAAATGGCGGTTGTTGAAGATCCGCATGACATGGCATAAAACACATCAATAAATATATCCAGTTGTTTAAATATATTTTACTGTGACTTGACTACTGTTAGTGTTGCTCTTCAACTATTGCAACTTATTCAAAATTCTGACCAAATTGCAATTTGTTTTATAAATCCAAACTGTTCAACTGGTCAGAAATTTGAAGAAACTGCTGTAGAAAACCACAGTCAAGTTGTGGAAGTGCAAGGTGATAAAATAAAGCATACTTCATGTACTTACAATCCTATAAGACTTTAATTCCACTTCAATGTTATTATGAAAAATCAGTCTAACAGTTTGTATAGAAATTGTATTGTTATTGTCATGCTACAGGAGATAGGTAGTAATTTTGAATTTCTATAAAAATGTCCAAACTAAGCTTCCATACAATTTTTCTTTCGAAAAGTCTTCTATATTCATAAGAATCATACATCATTTGAATTAAAACATCTTATATTCAGTAAAATATATGTGAAATTAAAATATGTTGTTAATAAGTTTCCATTGGAGATAACCTAAAACATTATTCTTTTGAATATAGTAGACTTTTCGAAAGAAAAATTGATTATCTCCCATAGAAACTTTGTCCCTTGACGTTTCAATTTTTATGCCCCGCCGTACGTACGTTTGCCTGAACCAAATGTTATGAAACTTATACACAATGCTTATTACCACAAAACACAGATCAAGTTTGAATTTTGGTGGCGTCACTTTAACCGTTCTAGAGTTATGCCCCTTTATAAATGGAACAATTTTTAATTTCCGTTCTCTAACTTAAGTTTGCCTCAACCAAATGTTATGAAACTTATACCCAATGCTTATTACCAGAAAACACAGATCAAGTTTGAATTTTAACTGTTCTAGAGTTATGCCCTTTATAAATAGAAAAATTGCAAAATTTTTAGTTTCTGTTCTCTAACTTAAGTTTGCCTCAACCAAATGTTATGAAACTTATACACAATAGTGTCACTTTAACCATTATTGAGTTATGCCCCTTTATAAATCGAAAGATTGCAAAATTTTTAGTTTCCATTCTGTAACCTAAGTTTGCCCCAACCAAACATTATGAAACCTATACACGGCTGTTGTCTGCTCTATGGTCGGGTTGTTGTCTCTTTGACATATTCCCCATTTCCATTCTCAATTTTACAATATTCGTTACCACAAAACTAAGATCAAGTACACATTTTTTGTTTTCCGTTTTCTAACTTTAGTATGCCTCAACCAAATGTTATGAAACTTACACACAATGCTTATTACTACATAATACAGATTAAGTACAAAATTTGGTGGCAACACTTTTACCATTCTTGAGTTATGTCCCTTTATAAACATAAAAATTGCTGAATTTTTCGTTTCCGTTCATTAACTTTAGTTTGTCTCAACCAAATGTTATAAAACTTACACACAACTGTTCTAGAGTTATGTGTGTTTACAAATAGAAAAATTGCTGAATTTTTAGTTTCTGTTCTCGATTTAAGTTAGCCTCAACCAAATGTTATGAGACTTACACACTATTCTTATTACCACAAAACTCAGATCAAGTTCAAATTTGGGTAGCGTCACTTTTTCCGTTCTTCAGTTATGTCCCTTTATAACTATATGATATGCAAGCGGGGGCATCATCTGTGTCCACATGTGTCCACTATCCACATTTATTTTAACCATGAATGCCTTTGATATGATTTTTGTTAATACTAAGCTCATACCAGTTAATATCATGTTCCTTATAAAATTCTGCAGTGTAACATTGATTTTGCATATTTTACCGTTTTCGAAGTATAAGGGGTCAAATTGTGATCAAACTCTAACAAAGGAATTGTTAAAATTTTCGCCTGGATTCTATGGATATCTAATAAAATTCCCAACTCCCTGTATTCAATTTGATCTACCGGTAGGTCCCGGTTTCGGAGCTGTAAGGGGTCAAAATTGTCATTTCTGTCGTCCTTCATAAAATCTGGTTTTATTATGATGCTTTCTATTTTTTTTTGTTAATAAGTCTGCTTCTGTACTGTAACAAAGGATTTTAAGTGTTTAGTACTTTTTCCGAGCTATAAGAAATCAAAGTGGAGCAATACCCAAAAAACGTGTATGCCTTAGACATAGTGGCATTGTGACAAAGATGATTAAATTAAGCAAGTAATGTTCACCAATTGTATGTTTTACACTAGTATTGCAATAATTGGGGAGTTAGAATCTTGAATTGAAAAATAGCTAAAATAATGGGTATATATCTTTATTAAAATGTACAAATATTGAGAGAGAAAAGTGATTTATTTGTAATAATTTTCTTTAATATTGAGAAAATTATGTGTTATATTTTATTGTTACAATTATTTTTAAAGAAATACAGAATATATTTTGTATGATTCCAATTTTTCAATTTTTCCAAATAAGGGGAAAATAACTCAGATAAGCTTACTTTTCCTACCAAAAAGTTTGATTAAGTACACCACTTTTTTAGTTTTTAGTATGTTGTTGATAGATAGTAACAGACTTGTTTTTCATAGAAAAACTTTGTGTTGCAATTAGTTGCTGGTTGATCGCTAAATTGACTAAACTATATTATAGATATTTTCAAATGAGATGGAGTGCTTCATTTTTTGCTTTTATTTTTAGTGTAATGGCTGACATTTTTGCAGTATGCAGAATGAAAATGATTTTTGCTACAAATGTATCTATGGGCTAAAATTGAAAAAAAAATGTATTTATTTTAGGTAACTTTTACATCTGTTCAACCAAAGCATTGATATAATGATTGAGTAAAGGATGTCTACAGAAGAAAGCGGCAACTGTGGAACATAACAAAGAATATAATATTCTCAGAAATGATGGCCCATGGCAAAAAACAACTTGTACAGACATTATTTGGATATTGGAAAGTTGCTGTAATTTCTAACTGCAGAAGTATAGTACTTTGATCCAATTTGAAAGTTTGTAACAAAAGATGAATTCAACAAAAATGAGAAAGTAAATGTATATTTTATCACATTTACAGTTCACATAGTTTTGAATGGAGTATTAATTTCCTTCATGGTCTTCAATTTCCCATGTCCCCACAGGTGTCAAGAATATATGGACATAGTGTTCTATTATATCTGCAAGGCTCACATTTGTTTTGTTTGGTGAAAATAACTTGTTATGATTTTGTGAACAAGTATATCTTGCAAATTATTATCTCTTCTATATGCTAAAATAGGATTTTTAGGAAAAAAAATTTTCAGACAAAGACTTGGGTAAATTTTTCTAACATTTTTGTAATATTTTTTGCACATTGGGTAATGCATTACTATTAAAGTTAATACTAACCGGACTCTGTCAGTTGTATATGATTTGATTTTCTTGTATCCATGTTTGGCCTGGCCTGGGATCAACCCACGAGTGCGGAAGGCAGAAGGTTCAATCCCAGGCAAGGTCAAATCAGACTAAAATTGGTATTTGCTGCTTCTCTGCCCAGCATCTGTCATTAAAGAGTAAGACTGTTTGACTTTGAGTCAGAATAATGTGTCAGAGTAAGGTGGTATGTCTCCCTGTGGACTGCTACCTTGTGAGCTAGCACACAAAAAGCTGACTCTATGTCGGTCTAGTACAAAACAGAGTTCATTTATCACCCATTAACATACATGACATACTCTCGTCCTGAATATGCATATAAAGGACAAGGTGCTATAAGGGCCCTTTTTGGCCTTAAAAAATGAAGTATCAAGCCTAAATGATTTTCACCTTAATCTACTGTAAAGATACCAACAATCATTGAACTAAAAGTTTTTCTCAAATGAAAAGAATATTTGAAGAGATTTCAGGTCTAAAAGAAGAGGTAAATTTAAATTTTCCACAAAAAAGGACAAAAATACATTATTTTGATACCTATTTTTAAGTGGGACACATAGAGCACATGCAATAACCAAAAATATATTTATATGAGAGACAAAGTTCAATTTTACCAACATGATGTTAAAATATCTGGTTGGTTGTTGCATGTGCTCTATCTTTGCTGGTCAAAAAACCACTTCAAAATCTACCGAAATCTGGGTATTTTGCAATAAAACGCATTGTAGTCAGATTTTCATGATGTCATAACCACATTAACTATGGCATAATTGGCTCTTAAGTACTTGATTTTAATTTTCGCAAATATAAACTTCAAATTCTCTTAAAAGTAAATTTTACATTTAAAGTTCAAAAATCAGAAAAAGTTTGGGCCAAAAAAGGCCCTTATGGCACCTTGTCCTTTGCCACTGGTTAAGCCACCATCACTCAGTCACTCTTCTCGTCTTCTATTATAATTTTCAGGTTCTGAGGAAGTATGTTTTGTTCGTATATATCTTTATATTGTTACCTTATCCAAGCATCATTTATGATGTGAAGGATAAGGTGCATTGTATGAAGAAGCCTAAGGGCTTCGAGGGTTAATAAGTGAACCTTTACTTTATGTCAAGGCCGCACACCTTTTTTCACAGCTGAGTGATTTTTTGTCTGACCACTACACTATATAAGCCTGTGCATAGAAATGACCATCCTCTTTTTTAAAAAACCAAACGGGGGTCCTCTATGGGCATTTATTGGTCTAAAAATTTATTTTTGGGACGGGCATATTACTGTTTATATAATTTGGGAGGGTACATATTAACCCTCGAAGCCCGTAGGCTTCTTCATATAATGGACCTTATCCTTCACATCATAAATGATGCTTGGATAAGGTAACATTATATATCATAATCCTGGGCTTGCTCAGGTTAATAAGTGAACTCTTTGTAGCTCCAATAAATGGAACTTCCAAATAAAATAAGAAATAAATGGAAATTAATAAAGAACTGATGTACATTACCAGTAAAAAAACTTGAACAGAGATAAAAACAAAGAAATTCAGCAAATATAAGTATCCAACACAAAACTGGTTTGGAAATCAGTCAAATCATTCTGACAAGTTTTGTTTTAAGACAGACAAGTCTTTTCTCTTAAGTCTTTATTCCACATACTTTGCAATTTTATCAAATACCAAAACTAAGTCTAATTAGATGCAGTATAAAGCAAATATTACATCTAAAATTCTTGGAACAATGTAGAAAAAATATATGAATAATTCTTTTAATCTTGTCATGTATTTATATGCATCACATGTAAACACAATGTAATTGGAAAACAAATATTATTTAATGTCCATCATTAGTTCATAAATCTTAGTATGTCCATACGAAAATGAAAAACGATATATAAATAACATCGCAAATGTCCAGTTACTATTCCTTCACTATTGAGAAACAACATCTGGAATAATGGTTCCTCCATCTCCAATCTGTTAGTCCCTCAAAGACAGTACATCTCTTGATGCAGAAAAACCCTGGAACTGTCAGCATCAACGTGATCAGGCTGTAAAAGTATGATTAAATACTGAATGAAAATAATTTGAATTTGTATTGTCTCCCTCAATATCCTTACAGTAAAACTTTTTGAAGGTCTGAGCTGATGCCCAATTTGCTGTTTTCAGAATATCATTTAATGATATACCTGCTCTTTTAGCTGCAGAAGAGGATGCAGATCTGTATGAATGAGCTTTAAATTTCAACACATTTATGCCTGCATTCGACAGTACCAATTTCAGCCATCTGGCAATTGAACAGCTTGTTACAGCTTTTAAAGTTCTGAATGAAATAAACAATTTACTACTTTTTCTTAAGTCTTTAGTTTGGTGAATATAATGTTTTAAAGAATTGAAAACAACACGTTTAATAATTTCATGCGTCCGAAGCGCTTTTCTGGATTTAACCCCATCGGGAACGCTCAAAGTCAAACATTTGAAATCCGAGGGATATATAAGTACCGAAACAGTTGAAGAGCTATATGACAAAAATACCTGGTAGAGAGAGGGTTTGGCACCAGCAAACATGTTTAACCCCGCCCCATTCTTTATGTACTTGTTCCAAGTAAGAAGCCTATAGTTCAGTGGTTGTCATTGGTTCATGCCTGCCATATTTGTTTATCGTAAATTGTTTTGTAATGAATCAGGCCGTTAGTTTCCTCAAATAATTTGTTTTATAGATTTGTGTCGGGGTCTTTTATAGCCGACTATAAGGTATAGGTTTTGCTCATTGATGAGGCCGTAGGGTAACGTATAGTTTCTTAAGTCCACTTCATTTGGTCTCTGTTGTCTTATTATCAATCATATCACATATCCATATTTTATATCTTATGTCAACTAAACCAGATTGCTTAGAAATTCACATTGTTTAACCCCGTTTAGTCATTTTTTGAATTTCAAAACAGATCAAAATGAACTATATGATTTTTTTTTAATCCATACGTTTTAAAGTAGACGAGCAATAGTATTTGTGTTTATATATCAGAAAAAAGCAGATATCCTAGATACGTATGGATTTGAGTTTTTTATAAATCGTCGTGTGAATCCTATAATGATGTATTTCCAAATTGGCAATAGTGGTAAAAATTCAAATTTAAGTTTAAAAGCACGGTATCATAAATATTTGACTGATACATAAAAAGTTATATAGTAATCGAATTTACAGACATGAAGAGTAACTCTGTTGGTTTTATTTTTTCAATAGACAAGCAACCTAGATAAATAAAGCATCTCTTTTTTGGAGATAGATCATTTCACTACAATTAATGTAGTGTTAGAAATGTATCCCTATATTTCCATTTAAGATAGACCATGGATTTTTTAACTTTGAAATATCACCAATTCTGTTCTGCTGGATTTGCTAAGAATTTTCAAAGAGTGAGTTCGAACCATGCAAACCAATTAAATAGTACTATTAAGATAGTTTTGATAAAAATTATTTATGGGCCAAAAAAACACAAGAAATAGTGGAGATACAACCCTATAAACATGATAAAATATTTTCCTCTGAACTTACTCTATGAATAAGCCAATATTATCCAATGAGTGTGTAGAGATAGAACAGTTTTATAGTTGCTTAAGGAGATAGATTATTGCACTTGGAACTCAGATACATAGCTATCTTCATTTTTGTCAAAAGTGGACATATAACACTATAAGATTCACACGACGAAATATGTCACCGCTCTCGAACACATTATTATTTTAGCCGGAGTCTACAACCCTTTGTTTTTACTTCAAAAAAGCCTTGTGCCAAGCAGAGAAGCAGCAAATGACAATTTCTATTTTTTGGAACCTCCCGCACTCGTGCCGAGCACGCTACAACGAGACCAGGTTCTAACCAAAGAAACAATATGAATGAAAATATTTTTCTTTTGTATACATGTATACATATTAATTGTCCTGCAACATAATCTTTTATTCATGGAGGTTCATGTCAAGTTTGTTTATATGAAATATTTGTTTTGTCTAAATAAAAGAAAGTAAAATAACAAAAATACCGAACTCCAGGGAAAATCCCAAAACGAAAAGTCCCTTATCAAGTGGCAATCAAAAGCTCAAACACATCAAAAGAATGTATAACAACTGTCAAATTCCTGACTTGGTACAGGCATTTCCTCATGTAGAAAATGGTGGACTAAACAGGGTTTTATAGCTAGCTAAACCTCTGACTTGTATGACAGTCATATAGCATTCCATTACATTGACAACAATGTGTGAGCAAAAACAGACAGACATAATAGGTAAAAATGTTAAAAATTGGGGTACAGCAGTCAACATTGTGTTATAATCTTAATCACTATAAAGGTAAATAAATATTTAAACTAAGAAAATTAAAAAGGGCATATAGACACTCTAGACATATAGACAATTACATAAGCAAACAAGAAAGACAAGAATACAAAAATGACCATAGCACAACACTCGAGGTACAATAACAAAATGGCGGGATGCATAAATACCTTGCCACGCCAAAAGAATATACCAAAAAAAGACTTAACAGTGAAGGTCTAGATATACGAATACAAATAAAAAGAACACTATAACACGTGATTAAGATGGTAAGCAACGAATCTTTACTTCAAGACCATCAAGTATTATTTGTGAAGTTGATACGGAATATTTATCAACAAGGTCTTAGTATCTTCCGATGAACCTTTTTTAAAAAAAGGACGAGAGGTTCTTTGACATAACCCTGGTTCATCAACTTTCTGCTCAGACACGGGTGACGTTTTAAAAAGTCTGAGAAGCAGCTGCAAGCTCTTGAAATGTATATCCCATATGCAGGTGTAGTTAGTATATTGCTGCTAAGATGAGGGAAATTTATAATTTCAAAATTAGAATAGTCTCGTTTGTCATAGATTCTGGACCTGAGATGACAACTGATGTCAAATTCGATGTATAAGTCTAAAAATGAGGCTGAGGAAGCCGTGTCTGTTGTTTCTTTAATGTGG